CTCCCGGCTTGCCAGATTGAGCCACCGACGACACCAAGCCTTAAACGTGCAGTAGCGTGATGGAGTGCGGAGAACCAAAGCAAGGTCCGGTTCGATGATGACGGAACTCCTGGTTATCAGGCTGGTGGGTGCGTTGTTCTGGCATTGTCTGTGTGATGTCGGCCAGCTCTGAAAATGTCGACCGTCTGATTGGTCCACTCCGTTTTCGTCCAGTGCTAACCAGGCAGGTCCTTTCACCATAACGCGTGGTTATTAATTCATCAGAGTATTCCTTTGATTCCAAATCTGCAGGATTGTCTTTCCCGGCTACGTGCTTCCACAAAGCGTCCGGGAGCTGTGTCTGGATATGAGCTACCGGTTGGCGACGAAAGTTTTCCAGCGGGTGGCGTGTCCCTGATCCAATGGGGTTGACCTTGGAATCATTGTGTGTGAATTGTGTGTAAAATTTAATTAATCTTTCATTTAAATTTACCTGTTTATATATTTCCTTAAAAAACCAATTATTTATGCTTCAGTATATGCAATTAAGAATGTACATTATAAATAGTAATTTTTTTTATTATGGTTACATATATATATATATATATATGCATCAACTCACTAATATAAATATACTTTATAAAACTAAAAATATTTATGATTTATATCAGAGTCATCTTTTTAATAACATTATATATATTTAAGCACTTTTAATTCTTTTTCTAACAAACTATATAAAATATTATTTGTATAAATATATTTGTCAAGTAATAGAAACATAGGTAAAAGGAATGTTAACAATGAATGTTATTACATATCACTACATAGCACGATTTAAATAATGGTTATTATGGTCATAGAAAGCCATGTAAACAAATATCAAAGCATACATTTAAATTTTTTTGATCTTGTGACGTTTTTTTCCCGCACGTCGATTCCCGTATCATAGGTGCGTTTTCGTTGCTGCTACCAGGCTACAAGCGGTTGGTTCGTGTTTAAAGACATGACGTCACTAATAGTAACCAAGAATAAAAACGTCTCGAGCAGGCAGTGCGCAAACGTGTTAGCGTGGTTGCTATACACGATGGATCCTGAGAGGTTATCTATGATGTTAAGTATGATGGAAATGATGATTGATGATGAATTATCACATATTGTTAATATGTGTCAGTTACAATCCACAAGCAGGATTGCCCTTTCCTTTCTGAAGGATAGAATAAATCATTTCAAAATAGGAATAATTGCTAACGAAGAGTGGGTGACCCATTACATTGATCAAGATTTTCATAAACAGTTTAGGTATAATAAGCACAAAGCATCAGCTTCGTTACTGCCACATTTCTTATTCATCATGCTGTCGATGTTATTTTTGACATTCATTGACTTGTTAGATTAAGTGAATTCTATCTAAATTTGTCTTTTTTGACAGGATGATGAAGAGCACATATTGGGCTCTTATAGACACAGTTCGACCTTACTACCCTGTCAAGTGCCAGAGAGGTGATGCACCTTTGGTAACAGTTGAGAAAGCTGTCCTGATGACATTGTGTTATCTGGGGAAGCATGTGCCTTTGTCTGATATAGGTGATCGATTCGCTGTGGCTCAAAGCACAGTTTTTAAGGAGGCCAAAACTATCATTTATATACTGTGTGATCTTAGAGATACATTTATTGTTTGGCCCAAAAAGAGTGAGTGTGTGATACTGAGCAGGCAATTTGAGGATCGTGCAGGATTTCCTGGTGAGCACTCTGTATGGCTTGGCTATTTTACTTTGAAATGTTTTTCTAAAGACAATGCTCTTCATGCAGAAGCTTTGTCATGTCTTATTGTCTCTTGCCATTTTTTCAGGTGTCATAGGAGCTATCGATGGTTGCCACATTGAAGTTGTACCTCCAGCAAACCAGCATTCTAGTTACATAGATCGTACATGCAACTACTCTATCACACTTCAAGGTGGGATTTTATGAAAACAGTGTATTTTTGCCATTAATATCATAATCTCTCTTATAGTAATATCAGCATTTCATTTTATAGGAATTTGTACTGCAACAAAAATATTTACAAATGTATCGATTGGAACACCTGGTTCTCGTAATGATGCCCACGTTATGAAGTACTCTAGCGTTTACCGGACGATAATGTGAGATGGAATGGAATCCATGTTTTTTAATAGCAATTATCATTTGATAGGTGATAAGGCCTACCCTAACAGGATGTGGTGCATGGCACCTTTCAAGTAAGTTGAACATTTTTGCATTCAAATATGTGTTGTTATATTTTACCATGTGAATAGCATTCTAATGCTCTTTCCTTGAATAGGGATTTTGGGAATCTTACTCCAAGACAAAGAACATACAACTATCATCATAGTTCAACCCGCATTGTAATAGAGCACACATTTGGTCTTATGAAGGGCAGATGGAAGCGTTTGATGAAAGTCAATACAGAAATTGCCAAAGTCAGTGACATTGTACTAGCCATCTGTGTTTTGCACATTTTTGTTATCTACACAATGATGAAGTGATTAAGAAAATGATTCAAGATAAAAGACGCATGCCTAACCAACATGTTTCCAACAATTATATAGACGAAGTCAGCAAAATACAAGGCGCAGAGAAACGCAATAGAATTGTACATTTGTTCTGAAAACTTTATTTGTAAGTCTTACTGTGATAAATGAAAAATATTATAGGAATATCTGGAATAAACTATTATATTGTCTAACTATTATATTGTCTTTATTTCTCATTTCCATCTCAGAGCACATATTTGCAAAATTAAATGTTTGGCAAAACTACATTAAATAATAGATATAGAAAGTATGTAAAAAAAAAGAATAACATTGTCTTATATTCTTATATTCCCTATTGTCTTATACATATTTTATAACAAAGAATATACTCAAAATAAAATTTTACTCAGATGGAAATACTGAGTGCAAAACACAACACAATAAAAACATTTTAAATAAGCACACTTATTGAAGAATAAAATAAATATTAACTTAGAACAAAACTAATAGATATACATTGGCACCAAAAGATACATATTACACACAAATCTGGGCTTTTTGCAGTTCCTTACATACTACGAAATGACTAAGACACTTTGGTAATGACAGGTAAGTACATAAAACTAGAATCTTTCTGTAATACTTCTTAACTTACAGTAAGTAGTATAAATATAATTCTAACTTAAGTAAAATAAAACTATAATAATCTAACTTAAAATAAAATAATGTAACACTTTTAGTATAAGTACATGAAATTTGAGGTAGTTTAAATAAAATGTTAATATAAGTACTAAATAATCCTCTGTATTGATATAAATCATATAGAGAGAGACATCTGAAGTAATAAAAGTATATTTGAAATGTGTTTGAAATTCATTTTCAAAGACTTTAAAAGTTGTTTCAAACATGTTTCAAATATTTTTTTGCTACTTGGGATATTCTCATAAAAAGATAATAAAAAGGTAACTATTATTTATCACATATGGAACATATCACATTTAATGCTTGTGTTAATCAATGTTAGCTATCTATTTGTAAATTACAATGTCTTTTAATTAGTAGTTTTATTTGAGCTTGTGTTGTGGCTCAACATATTGGTAATGATATTGAGAAAAGCTTTCTTAGTATCATTTGAATCTTGCATTAGTTTCATTAAACTTTCATTTTGCTTACGGCGTTCCTCAGCCTCATTTTTCAGAAAATCCAGGATGCAGGTGTTATCAATCCTAGGTTTCTTTAGCTTCGTGGATGACTTTACATGAATGAATGGGCTTCCATCGTTTTCATCTGATGATGCATTTTCAGACTCAGTATTACAAATCCTTATGTTCGTTTGTTTTGAAGAATTTGGAGCATTCGGAATCGTCGCTGGTTGCTCGTTAGAGGTAATGAGTGTAGGTGATACCTCTCTAGACAATGAATCAAGCAAACGTACTGGTTTTGCTTTGTGTTTCCCTTTAATAATGTCAAATACCTCATCATAAAATGCTGGTTTCTTTCCTTTTCCGTTACCAGAACTGCCAGCACCAGCATTCTGTAAAAAGTGCATCACAGCACTTTCAAGGTTGCGCCACTTCTGCGAGCAAACAGATCCTTCATCTCTTGTTCCAAAATTATACTTTTCTTTTAGTTCTACACCAATTTTTTCCCAAATCTTCTTCTTCACAGTTTTCTTATCATTTAATATCATCTGAATGTCCTTACGTCCCACAATTTCAATTAGGTCATGTGTGGCTGCAATATCCAGTGGTGATGGTTTATTATTTTTGACCCAAATCTCTTCGTTGCTTCTGTCAAAGATTTCACTCGACAAAGGTGAGATATTACGTATTTTAAAGCTTTCTTCACTAGAGCTCTCTGCAGTATTGGAATCCTCTATTATTGTAAAAGGTTTACAGGAATTAGCAGACTTAAATCGTTGGATTACGGAATCATCTAGGGGAAAAGAAATATATGATCCACCTGAAAAAAAAAAGTAGAAGTAGAACACAAAGATGCATTAAATATATAGAGAAATTCAAGTAGTTAGTATATAGCTCATTCCGAAAAACAAACGAGTAAAAATTAAAATATCAACTAAAATAAAATTGGACTTATTATATAGCAGGATTAGCTCTCAGCAAATATTTTATTTCAAAACATTTATTAAAATATGACACAAAGACGTAGGTAAGCTTCATGAAAGATAAATTTAATTGACTAACATAACCCCTACAGAACTCACAATGCAAGTATACTTACTTGAAACATGATGGAAAAACATTTGGCCATCAATAGAATGCACGTCACCATCAGCGCGCACGAGGAGGAAATGTTCGTTTAAGGTGAGCACCGTATTGTCCATTTTCGTTTTTACACCATGAATTTACCTCACGGTTGTATACACCATGTATACGATCGTGTCAACACTCTACAATTGATTTCGCGCCAAACAACCTACCACAACCGCGCTATCATCCTCAGGACCATGGCAGCGCGGTAGCAGCTACCGCAACCAACCAGGTTGCATCGATGACGTCACAACCAGAAACGAAAACGGTCGTGTTTGTTTCTGGTCGCTCGTGGTAGGGAAACGAAAACGCACCTCATGTGATCGCACCATGAAAGCTGGAATCCTGCTGCGTCATACCGTTAAGTGAAAATCCAGCCTGATCTCTCTGTTCGGTACTAGACGATTTTAAATACTTTTACATTTTTCTTTTTTTATCAAATAATTATTCTGAAAATGTATGTGTGTGTGTGAGTACAGTTTTGTAATAGAACTTTTTATTACACGCAAAAAATTCTCTCCTCTCGCTTCAAAAGTGATGGACGATGAGGTTAGATAATTTGTCTCGCTTTGTGTGGAAAATTCCAAACTTAGAAGATTTTAATGGCTTATTAATTTTATATTAATAACATTTTTTAAATCTCTGTATATATACAACGCAAGTTTTGTTCATCAAAACATATGTTGATCACTACATTTTATTGATATGATTACATAACCTAAAACACAAAAAAATTTGTTTTGATAGTTTTATTAACCTGCAATTTATATGTATATATAGAGGATTCAAAAATATTAATTAAAAAGTTAATAAAATGTTCTATGAATTAGAATCTTGCGCACAAAGCGAAATGAATTAACTAACTATACTGTCCTTCTTAGCAGCGAATGAAGAGAATTTTCTGCGGGTAACAATTAATTACAGAGAAATTGCAATTGGTATAGTTTATTCTTACTCTTTTATTTTTACTCTATATGTACTCTATGTACTATTTATATTATTTACTCTATTTTTTATTCAAGTGGAAACAATTCTTATAAAAGTTCTTTTATACTTTACAGATTTTGCATTATTGTGGTGTTCTATTACAAAACAGAGTTCTACACTACAAATCTGGACTCATAAATTTTTAGAATAATTATTTTATGAAAAATGTGATATATAAAAATACCTAACATCATCTAATATCAAAAGAGAAGAAATATCAAATAGTCACACTATATATGTACACTATATATGCAATCCGAAGGAATTGTCACTTATCAAACTAACTGGCATTTAATTAAACAAGTTTGTGGTAAGACATTTTTTATGAAAGTAAGAAAAATGTTTCTGCGCTTAAGTATTATTTGTTCTTTATTTGTTATATTATTTCAGGGACTTGATGCACTAATAAGATGCGATGATGTGAAGGTAAAGTGCGCACACACTTTTATTCTGGAAAAAGTGCATCGTAATATTTGTACGATACAAAATGTGTGCTTAAATGTTTGTATGGTTTGCTGTAACCATAGTTGTAATTTATTTTAATCAAATCGAGCTATTGTATCAACATGTAATGACATTTCTATAAGGTACTTATACTTCTATTACTTCACAAATATTATATTTAGTTTATTAAGAAAAGAACTGTGTGCTGTAAAAATTTATAAAGTTTTCAAGACATAACTCTAATCATAAATGTGATGCTTTTAGGTTTATACAGTATTATAGTGGGCTGATATATACATAAGAAAAAAATGAGCATATTTTACATAATAATGTATTACATTTACATTTGCATACTGGCTAGAAAAATTGACTTTAGGAAGATAATACAAACAGGTAAGCAAACAATTGTCAAATTAATTCAAATTTGACATACACATTTTAATTTTGATATATTCTTGACAAATATACAAGCATATGTTTTATTTAAACTAACTGTTTATAATTTGTAACTTCTTTTAATAAAGAAAATCTATCATAAATCTGATTTTTCAAGTTTTATAAAGTATAATTTTAGTGGTTAGTAAATAAAGAAAAGAATTATTTTTATACAATAATAAAATATTTTTATGTGTAATAGAATTATTTATATTTACATATTTGACATTGAAAGAAACAAAAATATATTAGACTTTAATAGAAACAAATACGAAAAATATATAGAAAAATATATAGAATATTAATTTAATTTTACATATTTAACACAACATACGTTTTCCACATGTAAAGTGTAATAAAATTCTAATAAAAGACCTATTCAGTCGAATTTTCAATATTTAAATAAAAATATGTAATATATGTAATATATTATCTAAAATTTTTTCCGAAGTTTTATACATAATAATTTAAATACTATAGCCATACTATAATTTATACATTGTTATTATAGCAAGTATAATATCATGTTATTAGATCAAAAATTATTGCTATTATTGCTCTGCAACTCAATAAAAAATTGTTTATGGCTCCTGTCCAAAGTATGCCATTTTCAATTTTTCGCGCCATTACGTCGGTAAGAAGCAATTGTTGAGAACCTTTTGTCGCTCGTCTTTTGTTTTAACCTTTTGTTTTAACCAAGTTTTTAGCAGTCTTAGTCGTTACCAGTCGTTACATGCGATCACTTGTAAAAACATGTACGCATTAATTAAATTTTCCAATGAAACGTATTATATTTGTAAAATTTCGCAATTACCTTCACTTAAACGTAGTTTACGTGCTAAGAAAAGAAAAGCTACAAGTTTATATCAACAAATAGAAATTATAGTGCGGCATCGTAAGTCATTTTTTGTAAAATTCCTTGAAAAGTATTAAATAATATTACTATATATTTTCACATATTGTACAATAACATGAAAATGCGTTTATAAATAGTTCTTTCATTAGATTTATATTGAAAACATATATTGTATATGTGTTGTATGTACATATACCTATATATTATATATATTGTACATATTTGTTATATTTTTTTTATATATTATAGCAAATGTTGAATATCTAAATATACTTAAAAGAAATTTGGAAAGAGGAATCCCAAAAGTGAGTTTGTGTAATAACATAAAAGGTAAGCAAAATAATCCTCCTTTACATTTTCATATATTATATTCAATTTTTATTCTTATCTGTTTATTTTACTTGCACTTTATATACTTTTCACACTTCAAATAAAAAAACGTATATGTTCAAACATTAGAAACAAAAGAAAAGACAGCAATTAAACAGCAAGTAACAAAATATGTAAAAAGAGTGCAACAAAACGAACATATCTATAATAATATCTCTACGATAAAAAAACTTTATACAATATTAAAGTATAACGTTTGTTAAATACAAAGTGGGGTAAGTAAAGCGTTACAATATTGCAGAAATATTTGTAAAAAACAATTTGAGAATTGTACCGAGGAAAACAAATGATGATAATTTTCTCATCGATTGATATAAGGTCAAAGATAATTAAAAGGTAATCCTTATTTTTTAAAAATAGAACTCTTTACACAAATTGGTTTCTCATAATATTTAATATAAAAAGTTATACGGTAGGATAACCAAAAAGTGAATAGTTTACAAAATATCTTGTACTTTAATGTGACAATTTTACATAAATTATATATAATCGAGCTGCCTCTTTTGCAAAAAGTTATATATAAAAATAGCACGTCATTTGGAGACCATTCATTCCAATGAAGATAAAGTTAAAAAATTCAGTTTACTGCCCAAAAAATGTACAGAAAGATTGAAAATAATAGATACAATTAGACGCAAAGGAAATTTTCAGTACAACACTGACAAAAATGTCGGCAAAGGCGATTTAATCGTCTGTCGAAGACCACAAGTATTATAATACAACTTATAACAAAATAAAACTTGTATTCATAAATTTTCAGAATAATTATTGAATAAATAAAGGAAAATGAAAAAGTATCTGATATCAAAGAAAAAAAGTTTGACAAACTGTCACACTATGTTTATAATCCAAAGAAACATTTATCAATGTAATTGGTTAGATGCATTTCAATAACAGGTTTGTGGTAAAGAATTTTGTAAAAATTATGAAGAACGTTTTAGCATATCAGAAAAATATATTATCTCGTTTTTTTTAAAGAAAATAACTCTACTTATGTTCTTTCTTGTATACTTATATATATATTACTTATATACTATTATATATTATACTATTATATACATAATACTATATGTACACTACTTATATACTACTACTTTATATACTTATTATTGTCATGAATTTGATATGACTTAACTCATTATTTATGCTTAGGCTTATGATTTTACAAAGTATAAGTTGCAGTGTGTAGTGAACATATTAATAACAAAAAATCCAGAGCGTTTATGAACATTACTTACATTATTTACATTTAACATTTGCCTCAGAGAAAAAAGCACGAAAAAATGCAGCAAAATAAATAGAAAATTAATTTGAATTTGATTGTTTGTTCCTTTTCAGTTGATTATGTAACCATGTTTTTACTTGCGGAGATTATCTGTTTTTTTATGCATGGGTTTTGTTTTATAACTTCATGAATTTCCTTTAATGAAGGTAATTTGCTACTTCTTATAACTTGATCAAACGCTGTTAGCGACTTTTTTTTCATCTTCAGTTCATCGTTTTCGCTTTGTGGGACTGTATGGAAAACCTACACAAAGATATTGATTTTCTATAATATATACAAATACTTTTTTGAAAACAAAATTTATCAAAATGTGTGCATATATTAAATGATATTATTAATGCAATATGTATACTAATTACAAAAATAAGTGATGATAGCTTATTTGTTAATACATCTACATCAGGAATTGTCGATACATCTACAGCAAAAATTACAGTTGGTTCAAGAACTAAAAAGCGTTCTTGTAAGTATTGTATTATTTTATTTTAAATTCGTACACATATAATGAGTACGTATACGTGAGTATATGCGTGTATATACAGTTATGTGCAAAATAACACCAGTTGAAAAAATGAGGGGAATTTGTATATTTTCTCCACCATCGAAAAGTGATTATTATAGGATTTCCTGATATTCGTCAATTTGTTCGAAGACCACAAAAGTCAGAATTTAATCCTAGATATACAGTCAAGACAGTTAAATATGATGGAGGAAACATACATATTCCCCTCATTTTTTCAACCGGTGCTATTATTTTGCACATAACTGTATATACACGCATATACTCACGTATACGTACTCATTATATGTGTACGAATTTAAAATAAAATAATACAATACTTACAAGAACGCTTCCCCCCGATACAAGAATGGTTCCCACCTTGACGAAGTCCCGCGGCTGATGGGGGGGGGGGGTCCGGGGCGGAAGGATATCACCCGTTCAGAGGTGTGACCGACTAGCCTGGGCCCCCCTGGCTCGTCCGGCTGCTGGGGCGGGTGGAGGGGCTTGAGGGGGCGCGCGGGGGCCGCTCGCTCAGGAGATGGCAACCGTGTGCGCCGGACAAAGCGGAACCTTCCCAAGCTAAAGTGTGTGCAACCGTGCTGAGGGCTGCATGGCGTAAGGGGAGTTACGTCGCTAACGGTGCCTCTCGGATACCGGGCGACCTTCGAGAGTATCGAGCCAAGCCCTGGGCATTCGCGGCTCTGCCCAGGTGAAACCGCGCGGCCGCGGTACTCGTGGGAACAATTATGAGTACTAACCAAAATGATAACTTTTCGGAAGTCCTACAGGGCGTGGCCACCTTAGGTGATGAACGACCTGAAGGAGAAAGCCCGAGCAATTCGGGGGCGGAGCCAAATAAGGCCCAGCCACCAAATGCTAGGGTTCGTTATAGCGGAGCGGCAAGGCGACGCTATAAAAAACAGAAGCAGATGGAGGCGAAGGGGGAAGCTGCAAAGCCCACCTCGGAACTGACATCTGTTTCGACAGTTACTCCAAGGACGGGGGAGCGAGCTTCTTCTGGGGCGGTAAAGCGACTCAGATCGGAGCATAGCACACCCAGCCCTGCCAGTAACACTCAGTTGGGCAAAAGGCCGAAAGTCGTAACTGACCAAAGGACTTTTGCCCAATTGACCTCCGGTCTTGTAAGGGTTGCCCTGGTTCCCTTGGCTTACCCTGACAAAAGACTGGAAAAAGACGAGGCATCGCTTCTGAAAGAAACGGTCAGGAAACGTATCCTTTGCTTAGCAAGGGGTACCAAAGCGCCTACTTTCAGAGGCACCTCGGATAGGGATGGGGCAGTTGTCTTCAACTGCACAAATAGGGAAACTGAGGAGTGGCTTAGAAGCCTAACCTCAGAAATTAAGATCAATGGGATCGAACTGCGTGCACTGCGGGTCGATGAGCTCCCTAAGAGACACCGAATCGTAGTGCACGTAGAGGATCCCACAATACCTGTCAAGGAAGCGTTAGAGCTACTTGACAGGCAGAACGTAGGCATCCAGTCACCGGACTGGGTAATCGCGAAGAGTAGCGAAAGCAGGGACGCCACGAGCACCCACTTCGCTGCCCTTGTTGGGGATGGGGCTTTGAGGGCGTTAAGAGCTCTCAATTTTAAACCCTACTGTGGACTTGGGCAGGCAACGATCAGGTTGCCTGCTGGAGAAAGCAGCAAGGAAGGCGCAAAGGAGAAATCACCGGACCCGTCAGCATAAATATGGCGGACCGGATTCACTTTACGCAGATTAACTTGCATCACAGCAAATGCGCCTCGGCTGTACTAGCCAGGTGCGCAGCAGTGATGCACACAAGTAAATACATATTTTTAATACAGGAACCATGGATCATCAAGGGACATATAAAAGGACTTGGCAGCTGTGGAAAACTATTCTGGGCCGGAAACACGGACCGACCGAGAGCGTGCATTATAGCGAAAGGAATAGACGCCTGTCTACTGCCACAATTTAGCGATGGTGACTTTGTTGCCATCAGACTGAAAATAAAGACGACCGGTGGAATAGTCAGGGATCTAATTATAGGGTCAGTGTACATGCCCTACGATTTGGAAAACCTGCCCCCACATGAAAACGTGATTAAACTCACGACTTATGCAAGGCAGAAAGAGCTAGAAATACTCCTGGGGTGCGATGCCAACTCGCACCACCTGGTGTGGGGGAGCACCGACATAAATCCCAGGGGTGAAAGCCTATTCAACTTTGTGGTAGGTATGGAGCTACACATCCTGAATAGAGGAACAGAACCTACCTTCCTGGACTCTAGAAGACAGGAAGTGATAGATATAACCATATGCTCTGGCGGAATATTGGACCTGTTAAGGGGATGGAGGGTCTCTGATGAGCCCTCAGGATCAGACCACAGGCAGGTCCGTTTCACCATGGAGCAAGTACAGAGCCAAGGGTTATGGAAGAGAAATCCTAGGAAAACAAATTGGAAGGGGTATGAGGAAGACCTTAGGAGTCGACTCAAGGAAGCACCCACTAGATTTCACACAAAAGAAAATTTGGAAACAGCGGCAGACTACTTGAATGATGCCATTAAATACTCATACGAGATGAACTGCCCATTAGAGTCAAAGAATACTTCAGCCAAAGCACCATGGTGGAGCAAAGAGCTGGCTAAGCTAAGGGCTGAGGGGAGAAGACTCTTTAATAGGGCTAGAAATGTAAATACACCGAGAACCTGGGAGGAGTACAGGAAATCTCAGAGAATTTACAAAAAGGCCATAGTAAAAGCTAAAAGGAAAGGATGGAGAAGTTTTTGCTCAAGTATAGAGAGTGCTCCTGAAGCATCTAGACTGAGTAGAATACTCTGCAAGGAAAACCAAACACAATGGGGCTGCCTTAAGCTTCCCAATGGAGGGTACACAGAAACTGCGGAGGAGACCCTACGGCACCTCATGGAAATCCATTTCCCAGGCTTTAGGGAGGACTCAGCAGACAACAACAACAGGCAGAGACCCATGACCTTGCACAAATCACGGGCATGGGGACTGGCAGCTAAAGTGGTCTATCCGTAAGCAGTGGAATGGGCGGTCGGTTCCTTCGAGCCTTTAAAGGCTCCAGGACCTGATGGAATATACCCGATTCTGCTGCAGAAAGGGCTGAGCAGCTTGTTAGGCCCAATGACAAAAATCTACAGGGCAAGTATTGCCCTCAGACATGTCCCCCAGAAGTGGAGAGAAACCAAGGTGGTTTTTATACCTAAACCTGGCAAGAACGGTCACGTCAGGGCAAAGGACTATAGACCAATTAGCCTTATGTCCTTCGTATTGAAGACCTTAGAGAGACTGGTGGACAGATTTCTCAAGTCCAACTCTCTAATACAACAACCTCTAGCCGACTCTCAGTACGCTTACAGGGAGGGCAGGTCTACCGAGACCGCCCTACATCACCTGATAGGCAAAGTTGAGAGTCAGCTGGAGGCAAAGGGCTATGCGATTGGAATCTTCCTGGACATCGAGGGCGCTTTCAATAGCACTTCACACGAGGTGGTAGGGGAGGCACTGATCAGACATGGAGTACAAGAACCACTGGTGGACGGGATAGAAGACATGCTAGTGGACAGATGCTTGACGGTGGAGTGCCAAGATATCTCCATCAGAGGAAAACCAACGAAAGGCTGCCCACAGGGGGGAGTTTTATCTCCTCTGTTGTGGTGTCTAGTGATAGACGACCTGCTAAAGGAGCTACAGAGGAAAGGTTTCTCGACCTTTGGCTATGCTGATGACGTGGCCATTGTGGTTAGAGGACCATTTCTCAACACACTAAGGGACCAAGCAAAGGATACCTTAAGGATTGTGCAAAACTGGTGTGAGAACAGAGGTCTAACGGTTAATCCGAGCAAGACAAATATTATGGTCTTCACCAGAAAATATAAACCTGAACCCATAGAGACGTTAAAACTCTGGGGAAAGGAAATACCGTTTACAGACTCGGTGAAATACTTGGGACTGATTCTAGATCCTAAGCTCAGCTGGGGAAAACATCTCATAGAGCAAAGGAAAAAGTTCTATGCATCCTTGTGGATGTGCAGAAGGGCAATGAGCAAGTCGTGGGGCATCAGCGCTGGTGCAGCATTATGGCTGTACAGGGCGGTCCTGCTGCCGCGGCTGCTATACGCGTCAGTCGTCTGGTGGACGAGAATAAATAAAGGGGAGGTGGAGAAACTACAATACTTAGAAGCCTACAAGGTAACTACCTAAGGGCTGCAGTAGGGGCCATGAGAAACCACACCCACAGAGGCGCTTGAAATAGCACTCAGTGTTACGCCAATAGGATTGGCTGCGATAAAATCAGCCAATACCACGGCATACCGCCTGAAATGTCAGGGTGAATGGAGAAACACAGGACTGGGACACACCAGGCTAGGTCTTCTCCAAAAGTACCCTATTGAGGGAAAACAAGACAGAACCACAAGAAAGTATCAACTGGTAAAACATTTTAAATTATGGATACCTGATAGAAACGAGTGGCTGAAACCGGGCGGGATCATGGACACAAAGGTGGACATGTGGTTCACGGACGGGTCAGGCATAAACAATTGCTTTGGAGCAGGAGTATATGGACCTGGGGAAAACCATAGGGAGAGTATTCCAATAGGAGGCGACTGCACGGTCTTTATGGCAGAGATGCTCGCCATCCTCAGATGTGCCGAACTGATCCTAACCAAGGGAACAAATTGCAGGAAAATATATATCTGCACGGACAGTAGGGCAGCCCTTCTGGCGTTGGCGGGTGCGACCACCGAGTCATACTTGGTATGGGACTGCATGCTGGCGCTGGAGGAGCTGTGCGGAAAAAACAAAGTAACGTTAGTCTGGGTACCCGGGCATCAGGGCATACCGGGAAACGAAATAGCAGACTCACTGGCTAGAGAAGGGGCTAGCAAAGCACCACATAGTCGGGAGGTGGGAGTGCCCTTTACGATGGGCAAGAACTTCATCAGAGACAGTATAAATAAACAACACAAGGCCAGGTGGGAAAATCTGAAATCCTGCCGACAGGCTAAATTTCTGATGAAAGACATAAATGGTAACAGAACCAAAGAACTACTTACACTAAATAGGCAGAAATTGAGGATGGGGATAGGACTGCTGACAGGACATTCACCAATACTCAAAGCCCACCTATTCAATATCAGACTCGCAGACAGGAAGGAGTGTCGACTATGCGGGGAGGAAAAAGAGGACAGCATACATATTCTGTGCCAATGTCCGGCTCTGGCTAGAAAGAGATTCAGGATCTGGGGACAAAGTTTTCTTAAATCCCAAGAATTAGACAAAACAAGGGTGGTGGAACTCATAAGCCTAGTGGAGAACTCTGGGCTGAGTACACATCACCCAGTTTAAAGACAAGAGTGAGGAGACACAATGGATCTCGCCAGATCTAGGTGCCGTCGGAGGCCAAGTCATGGAACCACTCACTTATTATTTACTACTACTACTACTACAAGAACGCTTTTTAGTTCTTGAACCATCTGTAATCTTTGCTGTAGATGTATCGACAATTCCTGATGTAGATGTATTAACAAATGAGCTATCATCACTTATTTTTGTATTTAGTATACATATTGCATTAATAATATCATTTAATATATGCACACGTTTTGATAGATTTTGTTTTCAAAAAAGTATTTAGAAAAATTTATGTAAATAACTAATGTAAATAAATGTAAATAAATGTAAATAAATACTCTTTTTCTCTTTCTCTCACTTTCATAAAATTAACGTTATATATATATATTAGGAACGATACATATTAACAATACATCAACATTATTAATATAATTAATAATTTATACCTTCATTTATAGCTATTTCTATATTCTCTTTTCCGATATTTGTTTCATTATTGCTACTATCTTCACTAGAACTTTGAGAATCACATCCATGTGCTGCTTCTAAATGTTGTGTAATATTCAAAATATCACGACTAATAATGGGTTGTTTATACACTTCTCTATGGATTTTTTCAGCATGCCCCATAAAATTTGCAAGGTCAGATATTTCAGTGTCAGCAAGCTCCATATTTGCACAAAATGTAGCAATGTGCTTTCTTAACTTCGTGCCACGTAATAAATGTGCAACTGTTGCATTACACTCTTCAGAAAATTTCCTCATGAGAACACAAGCTCTCAAATATTTAAACCGTTTTCGATTATAACTTGGAAGACCAAAGATATATGGATTTTCTGCAAGAACTTTAGCCTTTTCGCGAAAGTGCAGTATTAATTTTACACATTCTAACAAATCAGTGTTTAATATCACAGGTACTGTGCGACCAAGTTTGCCTCTAATCACAAAACGCACATATTTTTTTGCTGCTTCTTGTGCCTTCAATGAAATATTTTTAAAGAGATCATTAATTGTGGCTGAATCAATACCTCTGTATTGTTCAAAATCTGCGATTAATATGCGTTCAATTTCACCAGCTCGTTTACAATTGAATAATTGAACTGAGGTTAACGTACATTCTGCCAACACCAACCAAGTTTCATATGTGTATTCATTCATTAAATCCTCAAATGCTTTCTGTCGTTTACATTTTAAATGCATGTACAATTTAGCTATGTCAGCCAATGATGGAAGATCATCACTTTTTTGTCTTTGATGTTGTAAGCGTGTTTCCACAACTGTTTTGTTTACACTAGTTCCGTAATCTTCTATTAATAATTCTAGAAAATCTTTAACTAAACCTTTTTTTTCATCATTTTGACATTTTATACATTCCGTAATAAGTATATGACCAATTTTTTTTTATTAATGTTCTTAACATAGCTGCTGTAGTAGGTTTAGAATAAATTCCTACTTCATTATTTAAACCCGCTACTTTGTTAACTGTGATAATAACATCTTCATAAAATTTTGGATGATATATAAATTCGAAATCAATTATATTTTTATTAATTTCTTTAATAGTTAATAGAAAACGGCCCAACAGTCTTAAATGCGCGCGAATCATGTCGTGTTGGTGTTGCAGTTTATATTTAATAGATAATTTGTTACCATATAAAATAATAAGCTTGTCATATTTTATTACGCGATATACATCATCCTCTCTTATCACAGGTAATATTACAGATCGTAATTTTTTATTAGCTGCGCTATGAACTCTACCTAAAATTGAACGTCCCAAAATTGTTACAGCTTTAGCATGTTTGCTACTACGACCAGTACATCGATAAAAATGTTGGCGAAGTGAAATTTTAGAAAAAAAAACCATAACACTTTGCACAGGGTAAATAATCTTTAACTTCCTTATTTTTTGAAGCTCTGAAAATTTATGAATACAAGTTTTATTTTGTTATAAGTTGTATTATAATACTCATAATGCAAAGTCTATAAAATATAAGAAACTTTGTAAAGAAATATAATATTATTACGAATAAGTTTATATACATATGTAAATAAAAGAGTGAGAATAAACTGCAATTGCAATTTCTCTACCAATTCATTGTTTATTTCCTGTAGAAAGTCCTCTCGTTTCTCTTATATAGTGACAGGCGGTTAGTTTAGGTTAGAAAACTCATCCTACTTTGTGTGCCAGTTTTAAAATCACATAGAATTTTAATTGCTAAGTAATTTTTTTAACCCTTTGCATGTTTATACATCGCGGATTAAAATCTAATCATTATGAACAAATTTTTTGTATATTTAATGTTGCGATATTTGTTATATCAACAAAATACAGCAATATCAGCATGCGTTTGATAAACATACCTTGCAATATATTTAGTAATATATATAATATATACATAGAGTTTTCTAAAGTATTGTTAATGTAAAATCAACTCTCATAAGTAGATAGAGCGTGTCAAACTGAAGAAAAAAGTATTAGGTCATTTTGATAAATTTGTAATAATTATTAAGTTATTAAATAAATAAGATCGATCGATCCAAGCGCGCGGCGAGAAGAGACGTCCCACGTTACACGATACTCAGCACGCGGCGAAGCTGTGGTAGGAACGGACGATAGCTATACACGAGCGGCGCGTAAGAAGTACTCTTCTCATCAATTTAACACGCTCTATCTACTCACAAGAGTTGATCCGCAAAATCGGGGACACCCTGTATATTTGATTGATCGATTTCCTTACAGCCTTAAGCCCGTCAGATTACATATTGAAGAGTGTGGTTGAAGATTGAAATTTGACCAGTCACAACAAAAAAATTTTATCGTATTGGCTTCTGTTAATTAAATTTGAATCTTGAATTTTCAGTTTTCAGTTATTAATGTATAGTCTGATATGGACTTTACGGTGACGACTAAAATTTATTTTTTATAAATAATATTCCATATATAAGTATTTAAGTCACTCAATTATTGTAAATATAATCATAAAATATTTTTATAACTTCTGGTATATTTTTTCATGATTTTTATTTAGGTCCTCAAAATGCATATTTTGCTAAAAATATTGAGGACATTTTGATGTCCTCAACAGCAACAATGTATGCTTGTAAGTGTCAACGAGGACAGTCCTCAAAAACATCTGGTATATTTTTTTATGATCTATACTGAGGTCCTCAAAATGCATATTTTGCTAAAAATATTATTGAGGACATTTTGATGTCCTCAACAACAACAATGTATGCTTTAAGTGTCAACGAGGACAGTCCTCAAAAACATCAATGTACAGGTACATAATCGAGGACGGTCCTCAATGAATACAAATGTCCTCGAAAACTGTAATTCTTCGTAAAAAATGTCCTCGGAAACATCAATATATATATATATATATATATATATATATATATATAAGCTGTAAATTGTATATCATTATATACACGTGTTTTATATATTCATACGTATAGTAGATATACATATATTTATACACATATACATTTAGATGTACGTATATTATAAAAATATAAAACATCTTAAAAAGATATTGCATATTTATTAATTACATTTATAATGACGTATTTTCTACAATTAATATACATCTATAAGAAAAAAATAATTTAAAAACTACATTTCAATATTGCTTTCAATTAATACACATCTATAATATTTTTAATGAATATACATACGATATATTAATTATTTACAACTAATAGACATCTATTAGAAATATTTAACAAATTTCTTTTCTATATGTATAAAACATATTATATATGACTATTATAAACATATTACATGTTTATGAATTGCATATTTAATGACGAATGATATACGTCTAATAAACATCTATGAGAAGTTCAAAATCCGCGCATGCGTTATGCTGCGGACCATTGTGTGGTCCTTTGTCGTTACGTGCACACTCATGCTCGTGACTCGGACAGAAGCAAGTTGGAAAGCAAATAAAAAGCATAAGTACACGTAGTGTAAAGTGATAAGTTTTTCTACAGTCGGCATATAATCACATTAATCGGTAAGTTAATATATTATGTCGTATTAACATTTTAAGTCTTTTATATTCTCTAAATTTCACATGTTTCTAACAGAAATGTAATGAGGTTATATTAAGAACATATTAGTATATTTTAATTGGACGTGTATACGACTGACTGATCTTTGATTTGGCTATATTATTTATTATAAAATATATATAATATGTAAAAATTGTTTTAAAAAACTGTAAAAATATTTATTCAGAGAACATGTGAGAAAAAATAATTGAAAAAACGTCAAATAGACGTCTATTCGACATTTCTTCAACTATTATTTCTTACTGGTGCAAATCTCTAAAAGACGTTTTAAAGATATCTAGAAAATATATTTTTTTCTACATTTTTCAAACGTCTTCAACATGTTTTTTCGAAATTATTGCTGTTTGAAATATATTAAAAAATAATTTTTTGTGTTCTAAAGTTTTATTAAAATGATAAAATGCAAATATGTATATATTATATCTATTAAAAATAAAACTATATTTCTAGTAATATTAAATTCTGCAACAAATGAATAAGAAATTTAGTAGTAAAGTATATGCTCAGTTATTATATTTGTAGTATTTTTATGTTATGTGTGTGTTATTGTTTTATTGTTACATATTTCTGTGATCCTTGTTTTATTCTAAAAAGAAATAATTTTTTAAAAATATATTTACGCCTAATGTATTCATGTTTGTTTAGTTCTATAAATAAATATTAATATCTTTTATATTAAATACATTTCATAAATTAAATACATTTTATTTATATTTATTAGGTTATTGTAATAAGTCGAAGCTGATGCTGTAATAACTCTACTTTATTGAAGATTTGTAAATCAAGATTCTAATTCAAAATAATTTTCATTGGATTCAATATTGTTGCCAGCGATCTAAAGATTTCTTTATCTCTTCTTTAAAAAACGATTGTGGTTGAAATCAAATCTACTCTTGCATTCCGAAGTAACATTTTGATGTAAGTTATCATTGAATCTTAAAAATAGATCAAAACTTAAGAATGGATCGAAAGAGAAAAGCTGTCGAAAATGTGTCTCAAAGACATTTCCGACGACTTAAGGAAAAATGTTATGAACATTCTAAAGAGGTAGATCATGTTATCAATGTGTCAAATTTATTACCAATTGAAGAGAAACAGAATTCAGCTATGAATTCTGTATAGTTAAGTAATATTAAAGAACCGATATTATTAGAAGATAACAAGACAGCACAAAACGTAAATGATACAATAATAGATAATGACATTGTATTTCCACAAGATTCTGACAAAATATTAATTTCTTCATGCACAACCAACAATGGCAATTATCATTCTCAGAGTGAAATATGCACTGAGGCATACAATCTGAATTGTATAAAATTACAATTACGTCTATGGAGTCTATTAAACAATATTCCACATACATCTGTAACCAAGGGCGTCCGCAGAGGGGGGCAAACCGGGCACTTGCCCCCTCTAGAAAAGCAAATTTTTTCACAAATTTATGTTTTTTGAAGCTTGTTTGAAATTTCTGCTTAACAAATTAAATCATGTATTAATTTGTGAAAAATTATTAAAATTTGTTATAACGATAAAGCTGCCCTTTCATACAGCGAATTTTTCGTTGCGTGAATTTGCACTTTAATTTGTTATTCGCTAGCAGAGTTGCAAGATTCCAACCTGTGAGTCACAGAGTCATGGCGATGGGGAAGCACGCACACAGCGAGAAGGCATGTCCGTAGATGCCGGAGCGCTCACGGACACGTCTTCTCACTGTATGCGTGCTCCCCCACCGCTATGACTCTATGACTCTCGAGTTGGAATCTTGCAACTCTGGTCGCTAGGCGTCGCATGCTTACAGCGCTTTACTCGTATGCAAAGTACAGCCATGAATATTATAAGTAGACAGCTCTAGAAGCTGTTCGTTTACGCAGTGTGAGTTACGTTACGTGGCTCTTCTTTCTCTTACGCTGATTTTTAAGGCCCGCGACTATTTGCGAATATTAAAATTTTATACATTGATTAATTGTTTAATCCTTGAAAATGAATAAAGATATAAGATCGTTTTTTAAAAAACCCAGACTTGAAAATGATAGTTCTCAAGAAGAATCTTTTCCTTCCACCTCCATGCCATCAGTTAGTGTTTGCTCTTTCAATGATCCTTTCACATCAGTTCAAGATACTCTTACTGCCGATATAATCGTTTCTCAAAATTTTGAAAAATACGACATAGGACATTATATTAATTTAAAATTATCTAACGAGCAGAAATATGACGTAATGACTAATATTTGGGTTCCTTCGGAAAAATATAATTTTAAAAATGAAGGGCAACAGCGAAATTTTCGTGCCGATTGGTTAAAATTATATTCATGGTTAGCATACTCTGAAATTTCTGGAGATGGTTTGTGCAAATTTTGCGTTATTTTTAAACAAAATGTACATAGAGGTTTTCAAGGTGCTTTTATTATAAAAGCGTTTAACAAATATAAGAAATTCCACGAAGCTGCACATAATCACGAAAAATCACAATGGCATATAAGTGCCGTTGAAGATGGTACGAATTTTCTTCATATTATGCAAAATAAAAAAGTAAGCATTATTAATCTAATTTCCGATTCCAGAGCTAAATTAATTGAAATAAATCAAAGGAAACTAGAGCCCATTATATCTACAATTGTCTTTTGTGGTACACATGATCTTCCATTGCGCGGTAAAAAATCGGATAAAGGAAATTTCAGAGATTTGCTGAAGTTTTGAATTGAATCTGGCGATAATATTTTAAAAGAGCACTTGAAAAGGCCAAAGAATGCTCAATACACTTCAGTGAGAATTGAGCATGAGTTAATCAACATTTGCGAAAAAGTTATTACTAAAGATATAGTGAAATTAGCTAATGCATCCGAAGACTTCTCGATTTTAGCCGATGAAACAGCAGATATCGCTGGAATTGAACAACTTTCATTTGGAATCAGATTTGCTTTTTTTCAGAACGAAAAATTGTCCTTGCATGAAGAATTTTTGGGATATGTTGCATTAAAAAAATTTGACGCTCATTCCATTGCAAATGTGATTTTGGAAAAATGCCAAAAATTAAATTTAAATATGGAAAAATGTGTGGATCAAGGCTATGATGGGTGTTCAACCATGGCAGGAAAAGAAAATGGAGTAAAAGCCATTATTCAATGCAAGTACCCAAATATTAATTTTATTCATTGTGCCTCACATAGATTAAATTTAGTAATCAATGACTTGAATGCACTACCAGAAATTCGAAACGCAATTGGAATAATCAAAGAAATAATTAAATTTTTCAGGGAGAGTAACATTCGAAGACAGTTAGTTCCTTCAATTCCAATGCTTTGTCAAACACGATGGTGTGAACAACATAAATCTATTCGTAAATTTAAAGAGGGATTTATAAAAATTTTGGACGAACTTGATAAAATTTCGAATAGTACAAGCGATGCTAAAACTAAGTCCTATATGCTCTATTGTGCTGCCACAAAGCCATCGTTTGTGATATGTTTATTTATTATTTCCAAATATTTAACTTTATTGGAACCAATTACACTTAAATTGCAAGATAAAGACATCAATTTAATTGATGCTCAAAATCATATTAAACAATTGGTTACAATATTAGACCACGATCGACAGAGTGATGTCTTTACACATATTTACAAAGAATGTGAGGATTTGTGCACCGAGCTTGATATTCAATTAAAAATACCTCGAACTGCTATTCACCAAACGAAAAGAGCAAATTATAATACAAATGACCCACATACTTATTATAAATTATCAGTATTTTTACCATATATTGACTCAATTAAAACTTCATTAAATACGAGATTTTCAGAAGAAAATACCACCGTTTTTCAGCTCTTTAATATCTACCCACAAGAACTACGTAAAGTTAATCACGATCAATGCAACAATATATTTCAATCTATCGAAAAGACTTACAAATGTAATTTAAACGAAGAAAAACGTGTTTAGTATCAAATAGTAAATTCAAACCCTGATTTATCTACAGCTGAAGATATGATTAAAGCTGCAAAATTTGTACCTAAGATACAAACTTTGCTTCTTAAATCTTTAGCTTTACCGGTAACTACAGCCACCATTGAACGATCCTTCAGTACGTTACGGCGAGTAAAAACTTGGCTACGATCAACCATGTGCCAAGATCGTATCAGCGGTCTTTGCATGCTAAGTGTACACAGAGAACAAATAAAAAAGGAAGGTCAAGAATTTATTAAAAAAATAATAGATGATTTTGCTCTCGATGATAGGAGAATTGCACTTGCATTTCCTAACACAAATATAACATAAAATTAAAATATAATTTTAAGATCAAAACGTATAATATATAATATATAAAAAAAATTAAAATTATTAAAAATAATTTAAAAACATTAATACATTTTTGTTAATTTTTAAAATTAAAAATAAACAACAAAATTTTAAAAAAAGTATAAAATATGTATAAATTACTAAAAAAAATTTCAATAAAATTTAAAAAATTAAATAAAAAACAATAAAAAAATATATATATAATTAAAAAAAAATAAAAAAAGATAACAAATCTTTCTCTGCATACACCTACCTTGTCGCGGTGAGAAAGCTTCTTAACGAAAAGGTGTATATGATTAAAGAAACAAAGAAATGTATAAAATTCTTAAAACTTTGGGATGGAAAAATTGCCCCCTCTTGAAAAAAATTCTGCGGACGCCCTTGTCTGTAACTTCACTACTATCAATTTTAAAACAACACCCATGTTTTAATAATTTGCCAAAACATGCAAAATCTCTTTTAAAAACTCCTCGTACAACAAATGTTCGTGAAATGTCACCAGGACAATTTTGTTATTTTGGCATTGTACCTATTCTTGAATCTTATTTTCGACGTTACGAAGATAAAAATGAAAATCATATAAAACTTCAAGTAGGCATCGATGGGCTTCCTATATCTCAATCTTCCGAAAATCAGTTGTGGCCAATACTTGGTTCAATTGTACCATTTTCTGAAGTATTTTTAATTGGCTGTTACTTCGGAATGTCTAAACCATCTGATTCTAATTTATTTTTAGAAGACTTTGTGGAAGAATGTAAAATTCTATATGGGAGCGATGTACTAAATAATAACAAAGTCATAAAATTTTCAATTCATAGTTTAATAGCAGATGCTCCCGCAAAATCATTTCTAACTTCAACTAAAGGGCACAGTGGATATCACAGTTGCTTGAAATGTAATATTGAAGGCAGTTATATTATGAATCGCGTTTGTTTTCCTGGTACTAATTTTCAAGAAAGGACAAATGAACTTGCAAGTAAACAATTTGATAAAAATTATCACAAAGAATATTGTAAACTAGTAGAAATACCAGATTTTGGTTTAGTTACCAACATACCTTTAGATTATATGCATCTAATATGTATTGGTGTTGTAAAGAAATTGATAAAATTATGGCTAAGTGGCTCTTTAAAAGTAAGATTACCAGCATTTAAGGTAAAACAAATATCCGATTCATTAAAAAATATAAGAAGTTATATTCCAAAAGAATTTTCGAGAAAACCTCGTAATTTGGAAGATGTTAGTAAATGGAAAGCAACTGAATTGCGACAATTTTTATTATATACAGGGCCATACATTCTGAAAAAAATTTTACCATTAAATATATACACAAATTTTATTCTTTTACATACTGCCATTCGAATTCTAGTATGCCCAAAATTACATATAGAAAAAGTTAATAACGCTGAAAAATATCTAAAACAGTTTGTAAGATCTTTCGAAAAAATATACGGCAAGCACTTAGTGTCCCACAATATTCATTATTTATTACATTTGACTAATGATGTACGAAAATTTGGGACACTTGACACATTTAGTGCATTTAAATATGAAAATTATATGAAAACTATAAAAGCCTTGATTAGAAAAGCTGATCGTCCACTGCAACAATTATGTAATAGATATGCAGAACTTAAAGCATGTGAAGATATTAATGAAAAATTGTCACATTTATCTAAACAAAAATTTCATGGTATACATTGTAAGGGACCTCTTCTCTATGGCTACAATAATCCTCAATATTCGAAAATATTTTTCGAAAAATATATCCTTACAACAGAAAGTCCCAATAACTGTTGTATTTTGAAAGATGATTCTATTATTTTAATTTCAAATTTTGCGACGTCAATATCTGGAAACAGTTATATAATTGGAAAAAAATTTTCCAAAAAAAAAATGTGTATATAAAAGTCCACTACCATCATCATTATTCAATTGCTTTCGAGTTTCAAATTTATTGGAATTTGAAGCCTGGTCTGTTTCCGACATTGAAAAGAAAATTATGTTATTTCCTCAAGGAAAATATTATGCTGCAATACCTTTGTTACATTGCGAAACATCATCGTATGTATATATTAGTAAAATATCCTTTTATAATACGTCAATATATTATTAAATAAAATATTTTGAAATTATATTTTTTATGATATTACGTCATATATTTAAAATTATTTATAGTTTATAAGCAAATTATAAGATTTGTTTACTATCTTGGCTGCTTTCACGACAGAATCAAAATAATCTAGATTAAAATGGTCCTGCACTGTGATTAGTCAAATCTGAAATTCTGTTGAATGAAATTCAATGAAATTTCAGATTTGACCAATCACAGTTCAAGATCATTTTAATCTAAATTCATTTTGATTCTGTCGTGAAAGCAGCTCTTGAATTTGATTTTATAAACTTCAATTTATTACATAAATTGAAAAGGCATATTTATGTTAACTTTATTTCATGTTTTTTTTATTGTTGACAGCAAATCTTAAAATTAGAAAAGCACTTATGATGAGCAATTAAAGTGTAAAATATCATGTAGTTGAATTTGAAGATGGGCTTGAAATTGTTCCATCTTCATGGGTAAAAGATAAGAATATATGCAAATATCCTGCAACTAAATCCAAGAAAAAGAAAGATAAAGTCGTTATCAATAACGTACAACCGGATTCAAGTTGGAAAAATTATGCCATTTTAAGGACATTTGCAGTATGCGGTAATGTATAAATTATGAATTGTTCAAAATACACATATTACAATAAAAAGTCGTAATAAATTCAAAATAAAATTATACATATGAGTGTGTGTATAGTATAATAAAAATAATATATGTATCTTTTTTATTGTAGACACTTATGAAGAAGCCTGTTTAAAATGTGATAAAGCAGAATATGTATCAGATATGAACACAGATATGGATGACAATGACAAAGAAAACAATTTTATACAAGAATTAACATGCCAAAACAAAGAAAAGTATATAAGAAAAGTATATAATAGTGAAATATATAAAAGTTCATTTGAAGGTATTAATTAAAAATATGTATAATTATTTTTATTCACTATTTCAATATAAATAAATTATTAAAAATTTTTATAAAATAGAAATATTAAAGTAAAGTTTCATGTATAAGTAAAAAAATCGTAATTATTAAGAAACAGTTCTATATATTAAAATTAATTTGAAGTGTATATCAAAGTCGCCAGTAATAGAAAAATGAGAAAAAATTATATAAAACGACCAAGACTGGACAAAATAATTCTTTATTGATTCAAATCATGGCGTTGCGACCTCTGGTTTAGGTCTTTATCAAATAAAAAAATATGTTTAAGATGACATTATAATTATAAATTGCGAGATGAGAATCACTTATAATATATAAAAACTTGTGTCTTATAAAACAACTTGTCAGTAACTGGCAAGTCGTTTTATAAAACAAGTTTTTATATATTATAAGTAATTCTCACTTCGCAATTTATAATTATAATGTCATCTTAAACACACTTTTTCATTTGATAAAGACCTAAACCAGAGGTCGAAACGTCATGATTTAAATCAATAAAGAATTATTATATATTTTGTCCAGTTTTGGTCGTTTTATATAATTTTTTCTCATAGTTCTATATATGTATGTGATTATAAATAGTTCTGATCAATTATCAAGTAATTTTAGTCGTTGGCCATTGTTTATAAAAGTTATAAACATATGAATCTTAATATTATCCTACGACCCTACTTGCATAAAAAATGAGGTTGGCAATCATTACATTTATTAACTTTTGATACAAACAAATCTTTACCTCACTGACCGATTTTCTGCATAAAACTTGATCTATAATCGTTTGGCTCCATTTGGAACTTCATGCGATATAATAACAGTACAGTCTCCTTCCTGTATACTCCACAATCCTATCAAATTTTTATTTAACCTTAAACTTCTATGAAACAAGTTTAATTACTATAGGTAATTTTCCAATATATAAACAATGACCAACGCGACCGTTCAAAGTCATTAAAGGTTGCTCAAAATCATGACAATGACTGCGTTCAGCAGAAAAAGCAGCTTTACAATTGTAAAATTTGTAAATCTGATTGGTGTATGCTCTTAATCTTAGCTGAATCTAAGAGCATCCACCAATCAGATTCACGAATTTTACAACAGTTGTAAAGCAGGTTTTTTTGAACGCAGCCATTGATAAGTCCAAATTAATCATTGAAACTGAATCCGTTAAAACAAATAATTTCATAATTATTAAATATACGTAATATATAATTATTAATTAATTAAAATTAATTATTTATTTTATGTAATATACATTTTATGTAATATACATTTTTTACATAAAATTAAGAATTTAACATTGATCTTCAAGATTTTAGTATGCTAATGACAAACACAATAACGGAAATAAGAGATTTGAAAATAACCACAAATATTATGAGTACCGACATAAAAGAAATAAAAATGGATATTACAAATATAAAGATGGATATCCAACGCATGTGTGGTATAATTTCGAAATTAAAAGAAAGTCAAGATATTACTCTACCGCTATCAAAATGTACCGTTGCTTCACAAGCTGTTGTTGCTTTACATTCGATTTTTCCATTAAAAACGAAAGAGCAATTACATCAATTGGAAAACGAACTTGAAATCGTCGAGAAAGAAACTCAATTGGTAAGTTTTTATTTTTTTAAATTATAAATAATTAAATATTACATATATGCATTATTTATTATTATTTTATTGAAAATAGAGTGCGTTTTTTGATACAATTGGAGGACTTGATCCAAATGAAACAGTGAAAAGATCTCTAATAAAGACATTCAGTAATAAACCAGCCACTGAATTTTCATGGCAAGGCCGTAAAGAAAAATATAAATTATGTAATTTAAAAATAATGGACATAATGTATCGTAAGTAATAGAATATATCATTTCAAATAAATATATACATATAGAACATATTTTAAATAATAATAATTTTTTATATTGATGTAAAAATATCGTAAAACAAAATTATTATTACATTTTTATTCTAAATATTGTGAATACATTATCAGACTTGGTAATTAAACTTAATATATTATATAAAAAAATATATATATACATATATTTTTTATATAATATATATATGTATGTACGTATTTTGCATATACATTCTATCAAATTAAGTAAGTTAATATTGCTGTATAGGTTCACTGCTGGCTCGTTGTATTAATATGGATGAAAAAAAATTCCAATTTCGTGTGCAAGAATGGTTCAGACAAGCTGCAGCACGCTATCGCAATGAAATTCAGAAAGATACAGAAAACGCCATTATTTTGGAACTACAATGTGGAAACGTTGACGTTGCAGAAATCGCAAATTGCATGCAGCTTAATCCTACAGCATCAGACAATGAAGAACAAGTAAACTAGTAAAACGTTATATTTTTAATTATTACATTTAAACATTTTATCAAGTTCGATATACAAAAGTATAAAAGTATATGTATAAAAGTCGAGAATAATATATAGAGTGACTTAGTTTCTTTTAAATTAAAAAATTTTTTTATAAAATGTTCATAATATCGAAAATGTTCTAAGGACAAAAATATTAAGGCACTTACTGCAAACTAATAATATGGAAATCAATAGTTCTTGAGATATTCAACTTTTAATTTAATTTAGCATTTAAATTATTAAGCAATTATATAGGTTTATATATAACGTTGCTTCTTACCAATTACAGGTTTTAAATAATATTTTTTCTTTTTTTTTTCTTTTTTTGCTGATTTTTTTGTTTATTTTTTTATTTCCTCGTAGAACATATTGATATATATAAAAACTAATTCAGTAATAAGCTTCGATCATAAGTGCATAATAAAATATTTTATTTATAGTAAATATTCATAGAATAGATATATTGTTGAGAATATTATTTTTTTTATACTGTCATTTATTGAATCAGTAATATATAATATTGATATGTGCAATATATAATATTGATTTGTGAATGTGCCATAATTTTAAAGAGTGCAATAAAAAATGTTAGTTTTGTTTTCTTTTTATTTTGCACAAAAATTTAAGCAATAAAATTTATTTTCAATGAAAACTGTGTTAGTTTAAATAATTCCTTTCCTATAGTATTATAAATAAATATTTGTGTTAGATTATTTGATAATAATTGACAAAAATTGAATACACTCATTCATTATAAAAACAGCCTTGTAATAAATGTACAATACAAAAAACAAATTTATTAAAAAAAATAAATAAATGCATGCTACTGAAATAAAGATGAAGTTAAATGTTAGATCATAAATGATTATATCTATTTTATATTAATCTACATATAATAATTGCATCTAATGTGTGTGTGTGTGTTAAATTATAAATATAATCTATGTATAATCTAAATAATAAGTAATCTTCAATAACTTCTATAGAATTATAGAAGTTATTTATAATAGATGCGGCTATATATATATATATATTGCAAACAAAGTGATAAATATAAGGCCAACTTATCGAGCTGAATATTCGAGATGTTCAGTCAACTACCATTTATTACATGTATAAATTATAAAACTACAGTCATTATATTAAAACTAACGCAAATTACAATCATTCTATAAACGTTTCGACCGCACGCGGTCTTCTTCAGTATAATTATTGAAATATAAATTCTTACAATTCACATAATATCGAAATTTAATTATAGTTATTCAGAATCAAGAGTTTTTGAGCAATTAACGCGTGTTTCAATCCGTCCTGTCCAACAATGTTCGCCTCGATATGATCCCTGATTTTGTTCAGATCTCGGATAGTTTCATCGTTAATATGCGAGAAATTAACCCGTTCCGTAGGCGCTGCGATTAATAAAAATTACCGATCAACGTATGTCCAAATTATAATATGTATCCCCTACAATTGGTAGTATGCTTACCTATCATCGTTCTTCTTGACAATTTTGCTACTTATTAACAGTTATTAAGGATGACACATAACAAACCAACAATACAGAAAGACAGCTCATTTTAAACTCTACTTGATCGGAGAGCGTGCGTGTTTATATATGATCTAATATCTATGTTTTACTCGTTAATGTCCTATTTGTCCTATTATTATTTCTTGTTCGCTAATATATCCAAAATATCAAAATACGACTCGCTAAGTAACTCAGTATCTTTGTTTAAATTTAGTCCATTTTTTTGTTCCTTGATATGTAGCATCTCAGAAATGAGTCTTTTATAATAATTATTTTCGTTGTCCATGATCTTAACATTGTCCCAATTAAAAGTATGATGTTCATTTATTATGTGTTCAGAAATTACTGAATGTTTCGTTGAGTCCAACCTAATATTATTTTTATGTTCTTTTATTCGCGTCTGCAATTGCCTCTTTGTTTGGCCTACATAAGATGCATTACAATTATTGCAACTGATCTTATAAACCACATTCGAATTGCATGGATGTTTAGTTTTATCTTTCTGCGCTTTAATAATATTATCCAGTTTGTTGAGACATCTATACCCTACCATACAATTTTTATTTTTTACCGAGGAAACAATCATTTCTGAGATCCCATCTATATACGGAATGACAAAGAATTTTTTATTGACCGAGTCATTTCTTATACTTTTTGTTCTTTCTATGTTGGCCTGTCTCTCTATAATGCTCCCCTTAGATATGATGTGTTCTATCCGATGATTAATTTTGTTAAAAATCAGATCAAGAGGGTAACCATTGCTTCTGAGTATATTAATAATTAACTCCAAATTTTTATTAAAAAATAGTGGATGTGATAGCAATAGACATCTGTCTACAAGGTTATATATTATTCCAATTTTGTGGCATAATGGGTGGTTTGAATAAAATGATAACGTCCTTCCTGAGAAGGTTTCTTTTTGATACCAGTCTATATATATTTTGTTATTAATAATTTTAAGTGATAAATCTAAGAAATTCAAGCTATGGTTAACCTCTTGTTCGACCGTGAATTTAAGTCTTTCATGATAGTTGTTAAAATTATTCACAATCTGAGTCATATTAGTCATAGAGGTGGCCACTATTATGTCATCCACATAACGAAAATAAAACAAACATTCCAAATTCAACGCTTTGAGAACTGTATCCTCAAGATCTTGCATAACCAGGTCTGCAATAATTGGTGATAACGGTGACGGATTGTCAAGAAGAACGATGATAGGTAAGCATACTACCAATTGTAGGGGATACATATTATAATTTGGACATACGTTGATCGGTAATTTTTATTAATCGCAGCGCCTACGGAACGGGTTAATTTCTCGCATATTAACGATGAAACTATCCGAGATCTGAACAAAATCAGGGATCATATCGAGGCGAACATTGTTGGACAGGACGGATTGAAACACGCGTTAATTGCTCAAAAACTCTTGATTCTGAATAACTATAATTAAATTTCGATATTATGTGAATTGTAAGAATTTATATTTCAATAATTATACTGAAGAAGACCGCGTGCGGTCGAAACGTTTATAGAATGATTGTAATTTGCGTTAGTTTTAATATAATGACTGTAGTTTTATAATTTATACATGTAATAAATGGTAGTTGACTGAACATCTCGAATATTCAGCTCGATAAGTTGGCCTTATATTTATCACTTTGTTTTCAATATACGAGCGACAATTGTATTAATTTATATATTGCATATCTATTACAATTAAAAATAAAAATTTACCTCATTTGTAAGACTATTTTACTTTGTACAGCTAAAATAAAATACGTTACGGATTTTTTATAATTTAAAATTAAAATTTATTTAATATTGTTAATTTAAAAAAAATTTAATTTTAGTTATAAAAAATCCGTAACATATTTCATTTTAGCTGTACAAAGTAAATTAGTCTTACAGATGAGGTAAATTTTTATTTTTGATGCTCATTGTAGATAGATATATGCCATAGATATATAACCATCAATTAAACAACTTCTATTATATATAAAAAAGAAGTATATACAAGGCAGACAGTTACACTATGTATAGACATTTAACAGACCAACTATGGATATCTAATAAATATATAATTATCTATCAAATAACTTTAATTATACGTTAAAATAAGATATACAAGATGGACATTTTTGCTATATATAGATATTTGATAGATTAAACGTAGATATCTAATAGATATATAGCCGTCTATGAAATATACAAATATATAACTTTTATTATACGTAAAAAAGAGATATACAAGACAGAGAATTACGCTATGTATAGACATTTAACAGATCAAACGTGGCTATCTAATAGATATATAGCGGTTTATCAAATAACTTTTATTATACGTAAAGAAAAGGTATGCAAGGCGGACATTTTCACTATATATAGATATTTGACAGATCAATGTGAATATCTAATAGATATATACGTATTAATTCTAATTCTCTAATATATATATATTAGCTGTAACTGTTCTATGTGGGTAATTACTTATTTTGAGTACTTAAATTACTGTACATATATCAATAATTTAATGATCAAAAATTACTGTATATCAGTAATTTTTTGGTCATTTTCTATAAGCAATAAACGCTGTTATCATGTAAAGCCACATTGTTGGCTTTACTGATATGTGGTTTATTAATCTAAAGAATTTTCTGCATATTCTGTTGTAAAAAAATTCCACCCATGGTATTGCCTGCAAAACGAATACTAAAATGTAATCGAACGATTTAAAAAAATTGTTTATTTTTTTAACATTAACAGCGAACGTTAAATTATAAAAAGATTTATAGGAAACTTAAATATAATATACAAAAACTGTATTTGCTAAAAAATAAACAGTGATAAAGTAATAAATATATAATTAAAAAGAGAAGAATATGCTTGACAATTTAAAATTTAAGCGATAAAATTTAATCTACGAAAAGCTGAAATCATCTAAATAAATCTTATCATTAATTTTCTCGATAATTATATTTATACCGTTGAATTTTAAATCAGTTAATGATATTTTAATAATTTATTTATGAATATTTATATTTTATTGTTCTACATACATTAACAGTGGAATAATAAATAATTGCAATATTTATGCAATATAATATGCAACATAATATGCAATATAATTGATAATGCAATATAACTAATATGTAAAAAATATAAATTTAAATGTAAAAGATGTTCTCAAAATTTCAATGAAAAATTGCCTTAAAATAATTATAAATTTATAGACTTCTTAGAAGACTCGATATATAGTCACGACATATTACGCGCGTTAAATATACATTATGGATCATTACTTGAAACCTGCTTTTTTCATCTGTGATATATCTATCTTTATCTTTTAATTTTAAAATCCTGATTTAATAATTATCTAGCCTTTTCAGGGATCACGTTATCATGTTTTTTTGATACACTATGCCCTAGTAGCACAATCGCATTGGGGCAAAATTGGCAAGCAATAAATAATCAATTTGAATTTTATTATTTGAATTTTATTATTGGGTATAAACTAAATTTCTATATTGGTCTGATATTGTAAGGTGTCCGCTCTTTCTTTTTTAGCTAATATTGTATTCTAATATTGGATAAATTATTTTCATTTTTAAACAATATTGACAAATAATAAATATCCAATTTTTAATATTGGATTTGAACTAATTTTCTATCAATGTCCCAAGTAACAAGCTGACGCTATTAAACGTCAAA